AATTGACTTGATTCATTTAAGTCTAAATCATTTTTTAAGATTATTAGCTCAGTATTTTCTTTCCTGTCCCTTCATCTAGCTCTTCCACACACACTTGTTAGTTTTACATAGAAATTGCATAATTATTGCAGATATTAAAGGATTATTCCTTTAGCCAACAGTCCTGAACCAGATTTAGTACAGAAGACATTATAAGATATACAGTTGTCCTTAATTTGTTGATTTCTATTATAGCTGTAGTTAGTCATTCAGATACTGTTGTAAACTTAATGTTACATCGTCACAATAATGCATGAGAAGCAAAAAAAAGAAATGGAGTAGCAAAAGTCAGTCAGTTGCTAATGGGCTGCTAAAGCTTTTCCCTAAAATATCCCCAATCTAGAGCTAAAACCAGCTGCTGTGATATGCCAGCATAGCCAGGCGATGGCTCTTCTCCTTGTCGAAGTAAAAGAGGATTTCTTTTGCAGTATCTCTTGCTCCCATTCCCTAGTCTGTGGAGGAGGAGGAGGTGAGAATAAATACAGCTTCGTCAGGTCTCATCCCTGATTTGTATCTGTCTCCAGAGATCACAGATCTCCCACGGGTTGGGAGATCCCACAAACAAGCTATTCAGCTGCTCCAGCCGTGACTCCTTCTGTGAACTGAGGCAGCTCTTGCTTGGTAAGTTGTTCTTGGATACAAAATACCGGATGCGCCTGTGAAATCAGTTCATACTGCTGCTCTAAGTAGAAGGCACCTAAGCAGTAAGTACACCTCTACTGTAGTTCCGAAATGTTTAAAACGTGCTTGCTTTAGAGACCAGGTGTCTCCAAAACACATTAGAGCCTCCTAAGTAACACCAGCATTGCCAGTCTGAACAGCACATAAGTAGGTCTCCAGAATTCACATGAGGCTTTGACAGCATAGCACAAGTGAGTCCTGAGACACTCGGGTTTATGGTAGCTGTTGTTTGAGACTATTAGACTATTTTATTTGAGACATTTGGTCTTTTTTTTTTAAGATATAAAGAATGAGACATGCACCTATTTTAACTCTGGAAGAACCAAATCACTGCTGTTGCAATTCATGATAACTACTGGCAAATCTGCCTTAAATGTATAATTAATCTTGAGTATGTAGGAAGTCTGACTGATGTGAATTAAACTGCTCACACACTCATATACTCACATGCTCAGAATTAGTCATGCGCTTGGCTRCCCCGACTGGGCCCATTGGAAATGCAAAACATTTCTGATAGGTCACCACAGGCTCAGGAGAATCATGCAGCTGAATTATGTTCAGCCAGGGTTAAAGAGGATGGAAATACGCTTTTGTGCCCAGAGAAATTCATCCAGATGTCATTTGTAACAGGAGCAACCAACCTGGGGAACAAGCACCTGTGAGGGTTTGTCATGCTGCGGTTTCTTGGGATGTTCATGCAGACGCAGGGCAAGTGGCCTAGGATTGACTTTAAGACCGTTCATTCAAATTTAGAGAGCTCTTTCTGTTTGAAAGTGTTGCAGGAAAAATGAAGTGAGCTCTGCAAATGGGAGTAGTAATCATTTGAGGAGACTTCAAATCTTGCAAGTAGACTAGTGTTGTGTGTACCAATGCACACAGCTCCTGATGTACCGGCTTGTTGTACATCCCCAAATCAAAGGCATGCCAGAAAGGGCAGAAGGTGGGAAAATTCCAGAGAGATGAATGGGCTAGAAGGAAGTTAGCACCAGCACCTGTGGGCAAGTCAGAGGAGGCTAACTGACTAGAAGTTTCACAGCAGTTTGCAACAAAGTTGATCATTCCTATTGCTTTAACCTAAACCTGCTAATAAGTTGCACAGACAGACTCCCAACACTCCTCAATCACGGGAGCTGAGCGAGAAAAAGGCTTTCTGGWAAAACAATATAATTAAGAGCTCTGAGGGTAGAATGTTGGTCATAAAATGAAAATCCGATTAAGAAAATTGGAATTCAGGGTAGGTTTGGTGGGTGATAATCCTACAACATTTTGTGCCTAATTCTACTAGCACTACCGTTGCTAATTAAAACCAAAGTACATTGTTTTCTTACTGTATTTGATAGCTAGGCCGAGGAATATGTTTGTGTTAATTATACAGTGTAGTATTTTCTATACAAATTGTATAGAAATACAGTATTCTATATATTCTGTTGTATAGAAATATAGTATTTGTAGTATTTTCTATATAAATATGTTCTGTACCTTTGGTGATGTAAAAATATACATGCATACTGATCTTCAAKGAAATCAGTGGTTACTGCTTCAAAACGCGTTATTATTCTGGTTGAACAGCCAGTAATCCTGATAAAGAACTAAAACCACTGCAATTTAATGTATGCTTAAAAAATAACCAGAAAATTGTTGTGATGCCAAGCTGAAGAATATTTACAGATGAGGCTTCCTCTGAAGAGAAGTCATGTGAGGCTGTGCCATGCAGAGCATCTTTCTCCAGAATATAGCACACTTCAGGGACACAGTGTAGGTGTGTATATATAGCATTTTATACTTCATTTCTTTTTAGCCGCAGCTGTTCAGAGGGTCAGTCCACGAGACCTCAGCAAAGACCTTCAGAATATTTAGATTCTACTGAAAACTGGAGCTGGTTACAGTTATTAAAGATAGGTTTGGTTTATCCTCCTTTGTGTTAACCTGGATTTGGCTCTCTCCTGTGGGCCCTAGGAATCTTTTTTGAGTCTTTGAAGCTTTGAGAGTACAAAATGAAGAAGAAGAAACATTTGCTAAGATCAGAGTTTTGTGATTTTTTTTTTTTTTTCCCCACTATCCCTAGCAGGTGTCAAATAGTGGCAGGTTGAGTTGTTTGGTAACCAGCATCTTATGCAGCTCAAGTCGAAATCCACAAGAGCTTTTGTACATACCAGTAAAATATCTGTCTTTCCCAGTCTTCCTGGCACCAGAACCATGCATGGCTACTACACTGTTGTGACATTGGTGGCCTTTAGAAGACCTCCAGTAAGCTTGCCATAAAATCCTAAAGTTGTGCTCAGTTCATGCTCTGATAGGGACGTTCCAGCACAACTGAGCAGGAAGAAGTGTGGTAGCAGGCTGCTCCACACAAGGAAGGGACAGCAGGGCAGGCAGAGGCCTYGTCCTTGCCCACAAGGGATGAGCTCCCAGCGTGCCCAGCAGAACAAGCAGAGCAAGCGCAGCAGCAGTAACCAGGGGCTGCCACCCTAGACATGCAGACAGGTCTGTAGCGAGGAGACTGGGGCAAGGCCAAGCCTGGAAGCTCTGTCAGTGTAGGGCCAGGCCCAGCACTGCCACGTCTGCCACCTAGTGCAGGCAGGAGCCAAGGAGAAGGCTCTGAGCTGAAATGCAGCACCTGAGCGGAGAGGAGGCTGAAATCTCTCTCGGCTCTTCTCCCAGCAGTGAGCCCAGCACTCTGGCAGAGGAGGAAGAGATGGCAGAGCTGGCTGGGGCAYTCGGTGCCAGACAGGTTACAGGTAACCTTTCAAATAAATTCTTTCCAACGTGACATATTGGGAAGAATCTTCCCATGTCTTAGGGAGGATTAAAACAACCTGAAGGTTCTCCTGCAAAATTCAAGTCAAAAATACAGGATGAATCTTAGTTTTTAATAGTATAAGTGTTTAGAAAACTGCACTATCAACTGAGCTAGTGTTGTGTTGTTCTCTTCCATAGAGTAGTGCATGTTGTGACCTCCCTTTCGAGCTGAGTGGATTTGAAAGACGCTCCCTGCCAGCCGGTGCAAGCCATGCAGTGGCTTTTTCAAGCCTGTCAAGTTGACTTTACAGAAAGAAAAATGGTGATATGAGGTCAGCTTGGCTCCAGCCTACTGACACTTTATCAATATTGTATTGGCAATCCAGTTACAGTGGAAAACAAGGACATTATGTGGCAGTTAGGAGGTTGTTTATTATGTTACATGCCATCAGTCAGCATATTGAGTAAACTTTACTTGTCGGGTACAATTTCTCTCAAAAGCCCCAAATGCTTCTCTTGCTAAACATCTGAAATGTGGCTCAAGTAAAATTAACAGTAAATTAAAACTATTAGGTTTTTTAATATGAAATAATTTAGTAGAACATTAAAGCATTTTTAAAACTCACATTTTTCTAACTCACGATATTTTAATTCTAATTATGGTAATTAAAATGACACAACGATTATTGAAAAGATGAATGTGTAGAAAAGTGTTGTTGCAGAAAATCCAAAGCCAATGAATGTGTTTAGCTTGCTGAATTTAGCCCAAATTGGAGTTTACTAACATAATTTAAGACAATGCCTTTAGGAAGGGATTTATCAGTAATAATGCTGCAGATTAATTTATAACRGTTAATTTCTTTGATGAAATACTGCTCTTTGTGTTTGCAGTATCCTTCCAGCAAAATATACTTTGTGTTATATCTCAATCAGCATTGTKTTGTATTGATGCATGTCTTTCACATTCTCAGTGTTTGCTTTGCTATATAAATTCAAAGGGCTGTGTTGTCTATCAAATCATCTGTATGACTAAAGGGATGTGATCAGCCCTGTTCTCCGGTAAGACTTCTTTCTGATCAGCTCTGTAGCATGAATATCTAAGTTGAGGGATTTTAAATCCATCCTAGCCAGAAAATACTATTATTCTGTGACTTGTAAAATGTCCTTTAAAAGTTTCCTGTGTTGAAAGATCCAAGTTAAGTGACATTCTCCATTACACAATAACATAATCATATCATATGGTGCTGGAAATCAGAATATTTTAACACAAGACCAGGTTGAAGTTACCATTTCCATGTAAGAAGGGAAAATGAGTCTTACAGGACTGGAACAATAATTAAGATTATCTTTTCTATTCAGGTTCGTCTATAATCAAGCTTTTTTTTTTTTTGGTAAAGACTAAAAGTTTTAGTCTTGTCTAGTGGCTAATTTTAAGTCTAGTAAAGATAATTACGTGCATTCACCTGAGGAGGATTACCAAAAAAAAAAAAGTGAGAAACGGAAAAATGAAGTCTGTTTATCTTTTTTCCTTCTAGTTCCTTCAGTGTGGCRACAAATGCACACCTTTTGCAGATCTTTTGAAAGCCTGAATGAACTACGTGCATGTTAAATAGGATGCACCATCCTCAGGGGAAAAAATCAGGTTAGTTTTATGTCACATGTACTTTTCAATTAAGTGTAAATAACAATGTTCTGGGGAACATTTTCTTTCTTGATCTTTGTTTTAATTAACTGCCAAATGTGTGATCTTACTGCTGTGAAATGTTTGTTTGTGCGTGCCAGATGCCTTTGTATATGTCTTAGTATCAGTCACTCCTTCCCTGCAGAACTTTGTGTAATGGTACTGCTATGCCTTCAATGTGATACATACATGACTTAAAACAAAGGTGTCCTTTTTTAGAAGAAAGATTTTATACCCTGTAGATAACCAACGAAAGTGGGCTGGCTGACTGGACTCTGGAACACTGAAGGGGCTGCTACATGAGGCTACATGCAGATTAGCTGGCTACCCTGGCAATGACTCCCTGGAGCTGCCAGGGAAGCAAGCAAAAAACAGGAGAGGCAGAAGGAGGCAGAAGGACACCCAGGCATGAAGAGGTGGGAACAGAGAAGCACGGAGGGATGATCTTTACAGGTATTAAAGATAGAAAGCTCTATCATATATAGCTAGCAGCTATAGATATGACATGGATCAGTTAGCATTCTTTGTCAGATCAATCACTTCATTTTCATATGTGAGCATGTGGTAAAGCAGAGAGTTTGAACAATTTCTGCCTAAGCCTCCATAGGATTARGTACAACAGGATGAGGTAAATCCTTCAGGAGTCAATGGAAGTTGGTCAAATGGGGTCCAAAACTGAGGTCATGAAATAGAGGTGATTGTTCTGCATTTTAGCTGCAGGGGGATTAAAAGAACATTTTTTTTTATTAGACTTTCTGAGTAAGGTCTTGTGGGTCTTTGCAGGTCCTCGAGTACCCAAGCAMCTCTGAGGTTGGTACACTTGATACTGCCATGCTCTGGGTCACAAGCATTGGCCAGCGTAGCCTTCCTCTATGTTCAAATGTTAGTGTGGCCAGCGGTGACTCATCCTCCAGAGTTCACCTGGTCTCCTGCTCCTCTGGGGTTGGGCAGCAGGGTAGCAATGTGCTTTAAGTGGCACTGTGCCTGGGTGCCAGCTGTTTGCCGCGTGTTCTCCAGACTACCTGACTGGAGGTGGATATTAGAACTAGCTTCTTGGTGGAGAGACAAGTCTTCCTATGCTCTGAAGCTAGCCACACTTCCCTGCACATGTCCCTAATTAGTATTCAATCTTAAAAAATGTCTTTCATTAAAAATATAATTTGGCGAACTGGGTAATTGACTTGCATTTGATTAAGGCAGATTCTATTGGATTAACATGATTAATAGGTAAAATTATAATCAAACAGAAAGCAGTACAAAAGGTGACTTAAGTCATGGATGATATTAAGATACTGAATTTACAGAAAGATTGATACTCCAGGAATATTCATTTCACAGTAGGTAGCATACTGTTCCCTCACAGCCAGTGATGTAATTCAAATGAAGGTTGTAGTCAGAACCAGGGCTCGTTCCAAAGGCCTTTGAGGTCAATGAGAGTCGTCTTTCTAGAGGAGTGTGTTTATGATAAAACTTGACATCTGCAATCCAAACATCCACTGCTCCCACATTGATAGCACCAAATTATTATGTTACTATTAGAATAACTAGTATTCTAACTCTAGTAATTCTGCTACCACTAGAATAACTAGATTTGCGTAATCTTCAAAATATACAAAATACAGTAAATCTTGATTTGTACTTTATTCCAAAACAATGAGATTAATGTTTCTCTAACTGCTGAGGTACTCCTTAACTGAAGTTAAAAATCCCCCCTTCAGGTTACAGCTTAAACATTCAAGTACTGTTCTGAGGAGTTACGGACTTGCCTTTTTCTTTTAACAGAGGCCAAAGTAACTTCTGCCATTTAGTGGCTCCCACTTCTGATGCACTGGATTGACGTTTTTGGAGAATTTAGAAAAGTGGCTTTATGGAAACAGTATAAATGGTGCTCCCATCAGAACTTCTGCTGACAACAGTGTTTACTTTCAACATGGTGAGATGTACAGACTGAGAGTTCTACAGAGGAGAATATCTATACGTGAGCCACAACATCCAATGCTGAACAAGAATGACCCAAAGGCCAACAGTATCCATGGCTGTTTTGGGAAGAGCGTTGCTAGCAGGTTGAGGGAGGTGACACTTGCCCTCTGGTCAGCCCTGGTGAAGCTACATCTGAAGTTCTGTGTCCAGGTCTGGGCTTCCCAGTACAAGAAAGGCACCTTTACTGGAGAGGGTCCAGCCAAGGGCCACAGAGATGGCGATCAGGGTAATCTCTGCAGGGGAATGGCAAGTCAGGGCATATTATCTATCAATGTGTTTAAACCTCTGACAGGAAGATAGCAGAGGGACTGGGCCAGACTGTTGTTGATGCTCTCCACTGTCCGGATGAGAAGCAATAGGCAGAAACTGAAACACTGGAAGTTCTAATTAAGCATAAGATGGTGCTTCAGCATCGGGATGGTTAAACATTGAAATGGGTTGTCCTGTTGGAGAGTTTCTTTCCTTGGAGATGTTCAAAACCCAAACGGATGTGGTTCGAGGCACCCTGTCCCAGCTGACCCTACCTGAACAGGAGAGGCTGGATCCAGTGATCCAGAGATGCCTTCCATCCCATCTCTTTTGTCATATGCTATTTGTAGCAAGAAGACTCCCCTCTCTTCACATTGGTAGTTTCTTCTAAGCTTACTGAAACCTTTACTTGGATGTGCTGGTGTATGACATATCTATTTTAGTGGCAAAGGTAGTAAATTTTGTTCTTACGATGTCTTTGTGAATAGCATTATYCTCAGTAACGGAAGGGCTGCAGCTGGACTTACGTCTCCATACTAGAACTGCTAATTGATAAAATTGAAGGAATTAATAAATTTAGCAGATCTACTTTTAGTCAAATTCAACATTCTTTTCTGGATGCCTTGAGCCACAGTATATTTTATCTCCAAGACAGTCCTCTGATTAACCAGTGTCAAGAAAAACTCTATGGTGAAAGTACAACTTCAGTGCAAGTTTGAAGAAAAAAATCTGCAAGACGGAGGAGAATGCTGGATTTTATGCCATTTAGCTTAGCCTAGACATCTTACCTAACTTTAAAATGTGGATTTGATACAACTTGATTAACTTATTGCATAAATCGCAGTCTGTTACCAGTGAAATCAGTGATGACTGTGGTTATGAATCACTCTATATGGATTTTGTGTTTTATTTAAGAATAAAGTCATATTTAGATGGATGGATGAACTTCGAGCACTRTTGCTTCATCTTTATCTCTAATTGAGATACTACCATGTATTGTAAGGCTCTGGAGTATAATGATTTGTCAGCACAGGACACAGAGTGGACCAATTTAATAGCTGCTGGAGGGGTTAGAATTTCAACAGCCTTTGATCAAATCTTTTTTAGGTCAGTAACATTTAGAGGTATAGAAAAAAAATCAAGTAATTGGAGAGAAACCAGATGGTTTGTGGCTAATTTGGAAGAGAATGGATAATACTGTTGTGCAGTATCTTATTCTTTAAATCTTAGGATTTTCTAAAGGATAGATTAATATTGATATCATATTATGATTCACTGTTTGGTGTGCAAACATGAGCCATCCTTTTATTTCTTCTGCACATGCTCTGCGCTACCACTGAACCACTATATCAGCAATTACTGTGGTGAGTCAGTAGGTGACAAGCTTTATATATTCACTGCTGTTTTGTTTTCCACTGCAGAAAAAAAAATATTTCCATGTCCATGAAATCTGAATTCAGATATTCTAGGAGTAGCAAAATCTATGAAGGTCATTAAAATAACAGAGGTGACTAAAGTGTCATAAACATAAACTGAACTCTCCTCATTCTCTGCCATTTTTCAGAGCTTCTTGCTTTGTTTGCACATGCTCCTCTTCACTTCTATTACCCTATTAACTCTATGTTGATTTTTAAATTTCTTTGCTGTGACATTCTGAAGGTTACATAGATATACTAGATACAAATAGAGCCGTATGTTTACTTTAAGGTGATAAAGGTRAAATACTGCAAATCCAACTGGGTAAACATTTTGTTCGTGTTTAGTACAGCTGTGCCTGGAGATTCTGAATGAACTTGCTGAACATTTCATAGCCGCTGTGAAGGGCAGTGTCTGCCCCACCTCAATTACAGCAAAAATAAGCTAGATGGATAAAGTATAAGAGCGGACACAGTGTTAGGAAGTGACAGMGTGTCTCAAGGCTCCGAGCCTTGAGATTGCACTGCCTTATACTGAAAGGACTCCCTGTCTCAGCATTTTCTRTACGTGTGTCAGAATGTATGTGTATACTATATATTTTGTATTTCAAAAGATTTTTTTATATATAGTATATATGTGTAATTTTTATAGATATTCCAGGATGTTATAAGAAATTGTCATTGGCASACTGCAACAAGAAAAGGGTGGGATTTTTTGTTGATTTRTTTTTCTCCCATGACAAAGTAGACAGCTTTTTAGCAGATCAGTCAGCAAAGGAGTAACTGAAGGAGACTGCCACCCAATAAGCAACATCTTGCTGAKAGTATTTTCAGAAGAGCATTCTTAGGTCTCTTACCTTCAGCATAACTAGGCAGACTAAGAAGTCTTGTTATTCCAGTGAAATACTTTGGTGCCTATGTTTGCTGAGAACAGGTATTTTGAGGCTGATTAAAGCTTCACTTTTAATTGGGATGGCWGTTCTGCAGGCAAGTCCATCTGGTGGACGGACAGTACCTGACATATAAATCCACATGCTTTTGCTTGACTGAAGAAAAACATGCCAGGCTATTTCACACAGCCTGCTGTCCATATCYCCACACGTGCACACACACCTAACACACACACTGCTCCCGTGGGACACAGGACATTACATACATACATATGTGCATAGCCTTTATAATCACATTTTTCAGGTATGCAAATAGTAAGTTAAGGTTTATGCTTATTTTATAACCTTCCATATTCATTTATTGCTTCCAAGATATAAAAATGAAATTTATTTAAAAAAAAAGACCAACTAAGTTCAGTATTCAAGAGCAACTAATAATTTTATGCTCTAATTTTGTGGTGCAAAGCTCAGTGTATTTTAAGAGAGGCTGAATTTGGTAAATCTGATTGCTTCGGTCTCCTAAGACTCCTGAAAATGAGAAATCTTGATGATGTCTCTATATGCAGATTCACAGGAGAGAAACATGGTAAAGTAACTAGTCACTTTTGAAAATCTTTGCCCTTAAATGTAATATTTTTTCTTACAGCTGGCTCACCTGAGAACATTAGACGTGCACCTCTGTATTGTATATCTCTGCAGCRCCTGTTGTAAAGTTCTCTAAGTCCAATACAGGAACTGTCCTCTACAGTGTGTCTTTTTTAAGGTAAGAAATGCTTGTGTGAAGAATTCAGTTAAGTGTTTTGAACACAGGAGCTCCTCTTTTATGATGTATTACTACTTTTCATAAAGTTTAAGTAATTTGCTTTTCTGAATCAAGCTGTAAAGCTTTTAACTACATAATTGATYTCTCCATAAAATACATGTTGTGTTGTAATGCTGTAATTACCTGGAGTCTGATCTTTCAACCCTTCAGGGCACAAGTAATCTTTATTCCTGCCTCTGATCTTACTGACTGAGTGGAAGGAGTCATGTGACTGCAGCCCATCTGCCAGAGCAGATCTTTACTCAACTTTCCTAAATCACAGTTCATTTTCACATAGATAAGTGATTTAAGTGAAGGGCTAACAGCGTTCTGTCTCTCTTAATTTGAGATTTGGAAGACAATTATAATTCAAACTGCTTTTTCTAGTTGATGTTCCTAAGGAAAGACATTTATGTAGCCTAGAGCTAGAAGCCCAACTTTGCTTTTAAATGCAAATATTTTAACAAGTATAACACACAGAAGCATGAACTATCAATTATTCCTACTGGGCATATGTAAAACATCTTGTTTATCACAAAGAGACCAAATTAGGCTGAAAACGTAAAATAAAAATTTGTAATTGAAATGTTGCCCCGTCTGCTTTGAAACTACCCATTGTACCTACCAGTAGCAGCCTTCAGGTTGTCTTGATGCATCTGAATTGATCTTTCAATAAGAAGAGATGGGAACCACTAGTCCTGGCAATCTGTGGCATTGTCATGCAGTGACCTCTGTCATGTAATGACTTCTTATTGAGAAGGGTGGTAGAACAATGGACTGGTTAGAAACAGGAGCCTGTCAGGAAAGAGTAAAGACATTAGTTTCTGTCTATTTTCATTCTTTATAAGTTCTATGGGGAAGTATGGAATGACAGGAGGAACAGGTTCAGATCAAGCAGAATGGATTTTTCCGCTCCTACTTTCCACATCACTACCAAATGTTTCAAGTTTCTCTAGCAGTACAGAATTAAGGACAGTGTTATTAAATTCAGAGGCACTTTAACTGCATTTCATTTTAAGTGCATGAGAACCCCAATAATGTTTACTACTGTTTAAAAAAAAAAAAAAAGAAAGAAAGAAAAATCCTATGTTAGATCATTCTTCACTGTGATCTGCAAATGAGATTTTATTCAGGGATCTGCTATTTAAATGCAGCAGTGGCTCCAAGATCACCACACAGTGTTGGAGGAAAGGATGCAAGGTGGGCGATGTAGGTGGGCAGAACATGTCAGTGGTTATAAATACCAGCAATGGTTTAAAATACGACATCACAATGAAATGCAAACTGGCAGCTTTCTTTGGATAAATAATTGCTACTGCACTAATAAAGAGAAAGTTTGTGTTCCAACTACACATAACTTAAGTACAGCTACAAAACAAAAATGCTACTTCTCTAGTCCCCCTCTTCATTTCAGATTGGTCTTTTACATCACCATGACTTTAGAAGATGTTAGATTGTGCCAGGATGAATCCTGGCTAGCAAACTGTAGAAACTGCTTTAATTAGTCCAGAGCTCGTTCATTTTGTAGTTTTTGTTTCTAAATTGAATGTCTCACTAGTTACTAAAGTCCAACAGTGCAACTCCAGCYATTCCCTTTGGGTCACTCAGATTTCAGAAGGGAGTAGAACAGCCCTCAGACCTTTACATCTTCACTCACAAATCTCTTTCATTTTGCTTTCTTGCATTAGGGTGGAAGGACTGCACCTGAAGCAGTCATTTCTTGTTTGTCTTTTCTTTTGCTTGCTATGTGATGAGCTTGGCTATGGGATTTCAGTGTGCTATTAAAAATGGCTTCATTTGCTACAAAATACTCTGTCCAGAAAGAAGCAAATATGCCCTCTGCTGACWTGGTCAGTGGCTAGGCTTTAAGAAGCTGCTGTTGGAGCTCACCACATGGAGAAGTATTGTTTGCAAATAAAGCAAATTAGAATAAACATCTTTTATCATCGGAAAGTAATTAGTGTTGATTCGCAGCTTCACATGATTTTTCTTTTCTGACCTTGACTGTATCGTGATGCTTTTGTGCTTCCTTGGACAGTTTCTACTTGCGTCTGCATCGATTAAACCCTGATCTCATTTATTATCTCAGGAAATGGTCTCAAGGTCACAGGGCTGGAAATTTAATTATGGTGGCAGTATATTAAGTGGCATATTTAAAGATGCTGAATCGCAGTAATTAATTTTTTGGATGGTGGTCTCTAGGGAACAGGTTTTCTCCACACTGTCTGTTTAGACATCCATCATGGCCATTCAGCTTGGCAGCTGTCTTTTAGCTTTAAACTGCATCATTATTCATCTTTTATGAGTGACTTTAAAAACACTAGACAACTATATCCTTTTTTATTGTAATATATGTCTGCTGCTTGTATTGAGCTATACTTCACCTTTGCTATAAAACATTAACAGAGGTTGCTAGTAGCTACCTGGGCTGGCCTCTAAATTGAGACAACAATTACCCTTCGCTGACATCTAGTGTCAAGACATGAGATATGGCTGGAGCGCTGAATCCATTGGTCTGGAAATCTGCACTTCCCCAGTGATTCAGGCTCACCCAAGGAGCTGCAGCGTTGGACGTAATTAGTGGACACGAGGGATTAACTTGGCACTCAGTGTTGACTTTGTAGCAGCGCTAGGTTATTGAATGAAATGCARCACTGCCAAGGTCTTAAAAAGCTTGTAATGTTTAATGAAGGAATGGTCATTAAACTTGCTGGATCAAATATTAGGCGAGATGGAACTGGGAGGTATTTAATAAAGAAGCCTGAAAATATGAACTAAATCACATATGCTCATTTAAAAAGCTGGCTAAAGCCCAGCGTATCTGGAAGTTGTTCATTGCTAGTTTAAGCGAGGTGGTATGATTTGGAGAAGTGGAACTCCAAGCAGGTTTTAGCTCTCTGTGTAACTTTGCAGAAAGCTTTTTCTACTGCAGAATTATTTTTCTTAATGAAAGAGAAGTTGACATGCTACTAGGTTTGCAAATGACATGCTCTTTAGAGTGTGAGGCTATTAGAGTGTTCACGTTGAACAATATTTACAGGTACCAAGTGAGGTCTTTCATACTCTTTGTCAGGCTGAATCTACTAGGGTAAAGATCAAAGTATTAAGCGCTAGATCTTTAGAATATTGCTACCAGAGTTGCTTTGCACATCAGCATATTAGGAATGCTATTTTACAAGCTGAGGTGATGAAGAAAATCTCTTCTTCTTCAATGAGAAAACCAGACTAAATTCGAAGTGCAGAATACAAGGTGTAGAATTCCACTTGCACCTTGCTACATTGTGATCTCCTTAGACATAATGCAGCAGTGAATGTACTTTGTACTTTTTGTATTTTATCTTSTCTTAAATTCTCTGTTGTGACTGTAGCTCTTTCTGGTATTTGGCATTTTTCTACCTTCTTTTAAGGAAATCAGTTAGACCTATTTATATGATGTGTTTTGAAATTAAAATTTCATGGTTGTGTTTGTACTGAAACAAGCTCTTCCTCTTGCAAACTCGTTTTCTTGGTGTATGTGTTTTGACTACATCTTATTTCGCTGACCTAATCCAGGCCATGTTTGCTTGAAAAGTTGCATCCTGTAATTCATATTTCCTCAGAGATTCTTATATGCATTATTAGTAAATGTTAAGTATGCTAGTCCTCCAAATAAAGTCTGTCTTCCTRTAGTTTTAAAATGAAAATAGCAAGCACAACAGCAAGTGTATCATGAGAGAGATAAAGCAGCTTGTATCAATTCAAATATAGAGAGGCATGTGAACTGTCAAGCCAATGTGTAGCTTTTCTCAAGGCTGTGGTGTAAGACCAGTTAATTTTGAGAAAGATAATTCATTATTTTACGAGACTCCTTAGAAATGAAAATAATCACACAGTGGCTGCTTACAGAATTGCATATGGAGCATTAGAGCTGGCTATATCTAGTAGAGAGTGTTTAAGGCACTAAATGGAAGTAAAATGGAGAAACTGCTTGGCTAAAGCAGTTTCATATGTTTTATGCATGTTTAATAAGACTCCCTCCACCAGGAGAGGCACTTTTTGAAGGGATGTCAGAGCACGTGTGCTCATGTAAGGGGGTCTCCCTGCTGCCTCTCTGTGCCCCTCCCCAATTCCTGACGATGTGTCTCTGGTCAGTGCTTGACTGCGTTGTCAACTGGTTGTCGTTTGGGGTCTGCGTTGGTGGCTGCTCTGCATGTATCCTGCAGGATTTATTTCCCAAGATAAGGAGATGATATTTCACTTGCTAGGGTGTGAGATCAGAAAGGCTCAGAAGCAAGTGAGATGGGAGTATATCTAGCCAAGAGTCACTTCTGGCATGAAGTATATTGTATATATTTGCAAATATAAGCTTGCTGGCTGGTTTCCATCTGCATGTGGTTGAAAACTCTTTGGTATTTCCTCTTAATGGTTGCCTATGTGCTTGTAATTTAACTTTTTCCTACTTTCAAATAATATTAGGAAATGTGTAAATAGCAATAAGGTATTTAGAGTATTTCTGTGGATCGCGACAGTTTTCTCCCACGTGTCCTAAACGGACAGTATACATGATTAAAATCATCCACTATTAAAACAGGATAAATTGTATGTTTATATGGATGTGCAACTATGCTGGCAAGCCAAAGCACATCAGGGCCAGATGCACGGTGCAAGGACAGGAGAATCAACATAGTTAAACTTTTTCCCTTGTGTTTCTGAAAAAGCCACTTTGATTAGTATCTGCTGGATTTTGAGAAGAAAGATACATACCAAAATACAGAAATATTTAGATGGATAAGTTGTTCTCCATGATATTGCTGAAGCTAAGTGATTTGAATATATTTGCATGCAAATATTCCCATCGGTATGGATGTACCTATGTATTTACAACAGAATAGGCAGAAGCCATACTGGAAACAGATTTTGGACATGCAGAAAGCAGAGAAAATCATGCATAGCTCAGACACCCACTGTGTGAAGAGTGATTG